GGGGGGGGGGGTGGAGTGTTCAAGCTGTAGATGTGAGCAGATGCATCCATGATGAAACAAAGTGGAGGCTGAGGAGTTTTGATCCCATGAGAAGCTTGAACAGAGAGAAATGAGAGTGATGAAGACCCCTTGCACCCACAGAGAGAAGACCTCTCTTCCCAGAGATAAAGATGATTGTAAAGATAGATGAAGAGAACCTTTGCTTTTGAACAGCTCACCCTTAGAACAGTAATAGTTGAGATGGCCCATTAACTCAGCTGTGGGAAGGCTGTGAAAATGGGAGGAGCTTCACAATTGCAGATTTTTTCGTGGGCAGCTGCTATATCGTGGAACTGAAGAGCCACAAAAGAGCTGTTTCTTGTGGAAAATTTTCCATGGCATGGCAGGAGAAAACTCCTCTCCCTACAAGAACTGATGAAAGACTATTGTAGAAGTAGTAACTGATTTAAAACAAGACAGGTCTTGTCCCTATGTTGTCAGTTGGGGAAGAAAAGAAGTCGGGCACAGGGAGGGAAAGTGTTCTGAAGGTTTTTATTCTGATTCTTCTTATTCTTTTAGTTCTGTTAATAAAGGGTTTTTTTCATACCTTTAAAGTTTTGAACCTGTTTTGTCCTCCTCCTAATTCATTTCACAGATGGAAATGAGTAATTCTAGTAGGTGTACTGGCAACTTTAGCCAGCGCCAAACTCACCACATTATTTGATGCATTGGCCAGGAAACTCAAATTGGCAAATCTAAACCACTACATCTGTGAATTTTTATGTCATAGTTCATAGTAAGAAAACTGTCATTTTGATCACATGTTGTATAAACTTTATTAAATGTCTTCAGAAGGAAAAGAAAATTACGCTAGAGGCTACATTCACAGCCCTGTAGCTCATGCTAGATCACCAGAAGAAAGTGAGAGACCCAGTTTTGACTTCTGCGAAGCCCAAAGGAGTTTGAGCCCACCACTGTCTATAACTTTGAGATCCAAAATGCAGGGTGAATTAGCTATCATCTAATAGCTGTCTCTCCTCTTACTGATTAACCTGATATAATAAAATACTGGCTTGAACAGAAGCTCTAACAGAAAAATAATGCCCAGGTGACAACACAAAATGGCTGTTTTCCTTCTTTCTCACTTTCTTTGAATAGTGTGAGCTGTTTCAAAACTGATGAAATGTGGTGAAATATGTTTTGCAAAAATACACATTGTTGGCTTATGTACTTCTCTATGAGGAAAGAAGCTCAGCTTCAAATCACAGTCTTCTGTAGTAGAACCGACTTGAACAAAGGTTCTCACCTTGGCAGCTGACTATAACTAATAGTGCCATATATGCTACTCTAGACTTCAATTCCCTAACTTTTTCATTAAATCCTCTTCGATAAAGAATGGTAGATTCAGATCCTTGACAAATTTAAATTTAATATATGAAGAAATTGGAATTGTCTTATTTCCATGCATGCAATATAAATATTTCTGGATATTAACTCCAAATAAGTTAAATGAGTGTAGTCCATTTACTGACAGTGTGACATCACATTTCTTAGATTCTTAAAAAAGCAAACTAAAAAAAAAAAAACAACTAACATGTTGCCCTCTTAATTAAACACCTCTTCATCGTTCTGCAATTGTATTGCTGTGATTCAGGTAAGTACTCCAGATCCATGCCAAGAAGCACATAGCTTTCTTCCCTAGACAGCTATGGAGTACTTGTGGCTCACCCTAAGCTGAGAAACATTTCTTATTGCAGAACCAAAAAGGAATGAGTTGGAGGTAAAAGATAGGTATTTAAAAGAAAGTTATTTAGACCCTTCTGAAGCTTTTAAAACTGTCATAACTGGAAGTTCTGTTTCTTTCAGGCCCATATGGCAGGACTTGTGCCATATTATGGAAACTGGGGGTTTACACAGGGGAAAAAAATGCTGGAAGAGTGAAGGTAACTAATAGTACATGTTTTAAAAATGTCTTTAAATATAAACACCATTAGAAATACATGACCATTTCTAACTTTCATTGTCATATCTTTAGCATGGCTCATAAAAACAAGGGAGCAACCTCACACAAGTGTGATAAGATGTTTATATCCCTCTTTAGGGTTTTCTCTTTCAGCATGACATTTGAAACATTTGTATAAGCAAATAAATAGTTTTTATAAGTAAATAAATAAATAAATAAGAAGAGCTGTATATCTGCTTAACTGTTTTCTGAGCATGGGTGTGAAACATAAGAAAAACATATGACAGTAAGCTGCCATACTCCAGTCTTGGTTCTTCTCCACTACAAACATTGCATTCATTTGATTCTCCTTCATTCTCTTGGCTGCACATTGGAGTAGTTTGACTGGTACAGATAAATAAAGCTTTAACCTAAATGGTGGAAGGAAATAGCTTAGAAGTTAATGGGTACAAAGGAACTGGCTACCACCTCACCATCCATATATGGTCCCTTGACCTCCATACACAAAGTTGTGAGAAGGAAAAGAGGCAGCAGAAAACACACATATCCTCTCAAACCCTACATCTGTGGTTTCTCCCTCTCTTTGGAAAAGCCAGAGAGATGCTACTTGGGCTGTGCAGCAGCTGTATGTGCAGGAATTGCCAGGACTGCAGGGGATAGTACTTTTGTAAGAAAAAAATACTTTGCTAATAAATTCACACCTTTAAGCTCTTAGAGAGATTCACTTTTCAGATGTATGAAAAATCTTATTTTAAAAGGTCATGCCATCAATTTTATCATTTTACCTTTCTGTCTCTTGGACAGAGTCAGCAGTAATCTCTCTGTATTGTGGCACAGTCTCATTCATGTCCATGCAGACTTTTCCAACAAATGCTCGTTGACCAAATTTATCTGTTGAGATGCATTAGAATATAAATCTCAGAATCACTGGTTCTCAGAAGCCATTACCAAAGCTTGAACTGAGATAAAAAAAACAAAGTCCACCCCACCCAGCTTCATTTAAGATGACCAGAATTTATGCTCTTGTCTTGTCTCTAAGCTAGGATCATTCACGTGACTTTTAAGTAAAAAAAAGAAAAGAGGAAATAAGGAAACAAACAACGCTTAAATAGGACATTTAGCATTAACACCCAACTTTATAAATGAGAGCTAGATTATTGTAGTTTAACCACGACCAGAATTTTTAATAGTAGACAGCTGTGACACAGTGGATGAGAAACACAAGCATCAAAGTACAGTAGCTGTAGTAGATGAATACCTGGAGATGAGAGAAGGCACAAAGATCTCAGCAAACCATCTCTCCTTAAGGAAAAGGAGCAAAATTGCTAACAGGTCTCCCACATGCAGTTAGAGGGAGATTTTTCCAGATCTATTCTAGCTTCTTTGCTGAGATTTACCCATGCTAGATGAATAAATCAGAATTCATATGTAAAACATATGTATGATACCCAATTCTAGGCTGTCAAATGTGTTTCTAAATCAGATCTCTTTGTCCACTTTTATTATTTGAGTTGTTTAATGTAAAAGTTTTAAAAATTTCCTACTAAATCAGAAAGACTAGTTAATTTTTGATGAAATCTGAGGTTCTTATTAAATTTCTTTGCTTTACAAGCTGTCTGAGCCTTGAGAAATCCTGCAAGAACTACAACATTTTCAAACAGCAGGCATTTGCATCTGTGAACAGAAGGGAAGGATAAGATTCTGATGCACCTTCCTCTTCTCTGATTTTTGAGAGTGTGTAAAGATTTTTGACACTGATTATCAGCTGAAACCTCAGAGTACCAGGAAATTAATGTACTGACTGGGTCTCCTGTCATTCAGTTCTTTTAAATCTCAAATGACAAAAGGTTAGAAAGAGCAGAGAGCTGCAGCTGGAGAACAAGTCCAGCAGACCTAATTCAAGCTCAGCCAGCAGCAGATTTGGGAGTGAAGAGACGAGTTGCAACAGTACAACAGAGATACTTAAATGAAAATGGGTAACAAGTGGGGTTTGGGGACACAGTGTGACAGGTACAATGAATAAAAAACAAATTAGGAGAAAGACAGATTCCTGGCTAGTGTAAAACTCCTAAATATTGTTTCCTTCAACTAACATGATCCACACAATATCCTTCAAAACTCACTGTTAGACTCACCTATAATTTCAGCAAGAATAAGAGAACTGTCTGTGTGAATTGTTGCGAAGTAGCAAGCTGTAGTCGTGCCATTCTTTAGAGTTCGTCTCTAAAAAAAGAAATCAGTTTCAACTGTCTGGAAAAAAATCAGTAAAGCTGCCAAAATACAGAACAGGCAGTCTCATTTCAAACTACAAGAACATTTAGTTATTGTGAAATTTTGCAGTGAAGTGGGAAGGTAAAAATATAGATTTTTAATTTCATAAAAGCTTTTTTAAGTCTGAGGGTTAATAAAAAAAAAATTCCTCAAAGAATTTTTGCAATGGCTAAACCCATAAAAACCAGTCTATATTCTTTCCCCCAAACTAGAAATACTCCAACTTATATTTAGAAATACAGCTAGTCATTTTTGTTATTTCCTAGTTATGAAAGGCTGTTCAATTTTCACTTCATAGGTGAAGGATTGTTTATCTAGTGTTAGCAAAGCAAGGCTTTTGGGGAAGATGATGGTTTTCTTTTAGCAACCTGATTTAGCTGGAAAAACAAGTCAGGTTTTCATGTATCAAAAACCTTTGTTGATCCCAAATACAAAATAACAAACTTAACTGTAAAAGTAAACTGAGCACAACTGCTCGAACTATGAGCTAATTATTTACCTGATATACCATTTGAAAGGAAATGGAGGTTGACACCTCTTCATATTACTTTTGGGGAACATAATAATAAATTATAATAGGTATCTTAATTACGTTAATTCATTATGAAATGTGTAGCTTCTCCTGTCCTTAGGCCTGATGCAAACTATGTTATCCACTTATCCAACATACAGGCTTAAACTATATTTTGGTTCTGGCTGCCAAGTAATTTCAAAATTTTCTTTATTTATTTTTTTTTAATACGATAGAAGGTGAGACAACCAGCACAATGTTTGGAGGAGGGCTAGAGCTAACTATCTGATAAGCATGAAGCCAAGCTCTGTCTTTTCCTTACAATACTCAAATGAAAATCTCTAAGAGTTACAAAAAAGTCTCAAAAATAGCTATTTCATTACTGACACAAGTTACCTTTGTCTTTCCTAGCTTTTAAAATTCATAATCCTCTACTTCTGAAATCCTAACAACATTGTTGAATTAAAAACATTCTGTTTCCAAATCATCAGCACAAAGAGGAGGCTCCAGTTAAAAGCAGGAAAATTTCACCTAAATTGTTTCTTTTGCTGAGTACAGAAAGTGTTGGAAACAGGATCTTGATTTGAAAAAAAATCCACTGTGTTTTCATTACAACTTCAAAAGCACAATGATACTTAGGAAAAAACATTGCCTCCATCTAAGTTTAGTCCTGATTCTAACAGGTGAAGGTTATTACTGGCCTCACCAAACACTGCAGAATGACTGGTATTCTGTATCTTCTGTAGGTGAAGACATTTTCCTGACCCTGTTGTCTTTGATTCACATTGGGAATGTGAATCAAACATTCTAAAATGAATGATCTAAATTTCTAAAATGAATTTGACCTAAAATTCTAAAATCAACAAAAATAACTGCGGTGTTCAGGCTCCCACAACTAACTTCCACCTCTCTCTGGCAGCTCTTTTCCAGATGATATTGTGACACACCTTCCAGGGTGAGGACTCTAGACATGCTGGTGTCACTCAACCTGTGCTGTAACTGTGTTTGGCATACAGTCTGAAGGTGAGGTCACCTCTATTTTTAAGCAGTTGAAGGCATATGTGCTTGTCACTAGAACTTATGACCAAGCTGCTCTTTCATGTTTTTACCATGGCAGATGGTACAAATTTCTTTTTAAATTTGTGTGGCAAAGAACAGTATAACTATTTATTTCTGATTTGTTATGCTATTATGTTGACAACAGATGCTGTCACTGTAATAGACAAATGCAAGGCAAATTATGCTGGCCAAATAATTTAATCTGTTGGAGATATTTCAGTCCGCATATTAAAGGATAAATTTCATTTATAGGACAGAAGTAGTACTCTGCAATATGACCTAGCTGCTTGTTGTCCGTCCAGTGGATCATAAAGATTTTACAATGCTCAGAACCAGTCTAGCTCAAACACAGTCTTTTCTTGTCCCATAGTACCATTGAGAGACTCCATAGAAAGCCCCTGCAGTGAAAGGTATTCCCATTATAAGGATCTCAGCAGCAGCAACATCTTCCTTTACTAATTCAGAGCTCCCCAGATTTGTCTATGAAAAGTGTCTTCTCTTTCATGTGCTTTTGCAGATGGGGAATTCATAATAGAGGATTTTTGTGCAGAAAAGGGAACATCCCCTGAATTTTATTTTATTTTTTGCTATACTTGGTTATTGCTGCATGGAGCAGCACCTGTCTACACCTGCTGGCTGTACTAATTCTGAGAGTAGATTAAATGTTGGTCATTGTATTCAGAAAAGGTGATAAAGGGTTCATTGTTAATCTTGTGATTAAAGGAACTCTCTTGCCAGCAACAACAGAACAAGACTGGAACTAATAACAGACAGTCTTGGCTAGCAATTAGAACAGTGGCTATCTTGGCTTTATCTGGTTTCCGTGACAGTAAAACATTCTCTGCTCTTTCTGCTGACCTTCTGAATACATACCTTATATTACACAAAAATGAATGTCATCAAGTAGGTAAAGGTCATTTGCAGGACTTACAACAACTCTGGTGTACACTTCTTCTGCAAAACCACTGTCCTGGTATTTGGCTTCTGTTGGGAATGTGTAGGAAGTCAACCACTGCAAAAGAGGCAGGTCTACTCTTGTACCAGTAAATGAATACTGAGGCGCATGAATATGTGTATCAACCAATCCAGGCATGAAGAATTCACTAAGGAAAGAAAATAAAATTGTAATAATCCAAAATGTCTCAAAATTCTCCCTGATAGTTAGCTTTGTTTTAGAGAGTGTACTTCAGTAAAATCCACCAGAATAAATGGTGAGTACAAATTAACCTGTGTCTTCCAGCATCAGCCTATTAACTCCTGCTGTACCTCTACCCATACCCATCTTTTGGTATGAAGCAGTTCATAATATCATTTATACAGCAAAATACATATATCTAACTGTGAGAAAAACAATGTAAGAGCATGATTAACCCAATTATCTCTAATATTGACCCACCCTAACAAACAAAAGGGAGCAGACTTCACCACAACTAAAATTACTCCACTATAGAATCCACCTGAAAAAGAGATTTGTAAAGCGTTGTTTCCTAGTGTGGATATAGATGGAATGCCTCTAGCTCCCAGGCCATTATATTTACAAAATGTGACTTTCTGTATGCCAATTTTCCTCTACATTATTTATATGTCGATGTAGACATATAAAATCAATGACTTAATGGAAGAACAAACACGGCGTCTAAAAATACAGACATAGACGCTGGTGAAAAAAATTCTGCTCAGTATCTTGACAAGAAAAACCTATTTACAATGTAACTCTATATGTTGTCATATAATGTTCATGCAATGAAACAGATTAATTTATCAACATTACTAGGAAGTTGCTATGGCTATTTTGTTTTGTGCTGAAACTTCTTACTGCTTAACATTTCTATCACTCCTCTTTCCTTCTTCCTGACTACTGAATTAACTGAGTTTTGTCTCTTTTTAGCTTTTTCTTTTTTTTTTTTTTCTTTCTGTTTTCTTGCAATCTATAAATGCTGAAAAGTCTTCCTCAATCTGATCCATATTCTTCCACCTTGTACCTTCATCCGCACCTTCCACTTTCCTCAGGCTATTTCAAGTGAATAAAACATCTGATTATTCATAAAGATTGTATGATTAGCCTTCTAGCAAAGCATAACAATTTTTGAGCAATTGACTACTAGAGGGATGCTGCAGCTCTCAATTCTAAGCCACACTTTGTTTACAATCCTACTACATGCAAAGCCTAGTAGATACAGTCCAAAAGATTTTCATTTCACCATAAAGTTGAGGGATTTCAGTAGATGAAGAAGAAACAAAATGTTCCAGCTGCAGTATAGTGAGAAGTCAAAAGCCCTGTGTTTAAAAGGTTTAAAACTTCTAATTATATTCATTTTTATCATGGAATGTGTCAAAGTCCAAGCAAATGAGTTTCATGTTTGCAGTGTCAGTGTTACCTACATTTACTACATCTAGACTTTCATGTTAAGCACAGCCCACTACTAACAACATGGGTATAAAATGCAGTCTTAAGAAAGAGTGGCACTTCTGTAAGCACAGAAGTGATTATGCCTGAAAGCTAAATGCAGCATTTTGTTCTGTGCAGTATACATCAGCCAGCACCATTCAGCCATGTCTGCAATCCCAAACCAAGGAATGCAAAAAGAACATGGACTGTTCTCCAAGTCGTATCCAGAACATAGGCACCTTTGGGTAAAGGGCTCTCACTGCATTGAAATGGAAATTTTCCCATTTAAATTTATGGGCATCATATGGATTTGATGTGCTCCCTGTCAAAATGTATTCCAAAGACTTGCTCTATGTCACTCAAAGAAGAAACTGCATTTGCTGAAGTTAGCCTTTAATAAAACACATACTGTTTACTCAGTTGTCTTATGTCAGATGTTTTGAACCCCCACGTCTTCGCCAGTTCCTCTAGCTGATCAGCTTGTTCCACAAATGCAATCTAAAAAAGAAAACATAGTTAAGTACTTTAAATGTGCATCCCACATCAGCTTTATGTGAAGACAAAACAAGTTATATCTTAAAACCAGTTTTACATACTTACTACGGAGGTGTTGGGTTTGCATTGAGACACTTGTTCTTCCTGACTACCAAGTATGATTTTGAAATACTTCCCCATAATCCAGCGACTAACCGCACCCACCTTGTAGCTCGTAATAGAACAGTTAATTCCTTCTCAAATAATACACTGGCAGAACAGCACAGACCTTAGTGTGCTGTAACACACTAAGGTAACATCATGCTAGCAGTGCAGTCACTTGCTGAGGGGGTGTACAACAGCCTGACAGGAATGCAATATTCACAGGAATTGCAGTATTCACCACCAGAGGGGTCAAATTACCTGCTTTGCCTATGACTGACTGACATCAAGCTAAGTATTTTCTAATTTTCTGCTTGTGTTGGGCTTTCTCAATTTTTTTCAGTGCCTAGGATGAGAAAAGAAATTGAGGGAAAAAAATGTGGATAATATTTTCATTTTACGGAATGGGCTAAAAGGATGATGAGATCTTTGCTTATTTCAAAATAAAACCCGACATTCTATAGCCAAACTCAACCCCATTTGACTTCTAGAGAACATAGACTCTACTGATGATAAGTTGCTGTTGCCTAGTCAGAATTTTAGCACATATCCTACTTATTTTTAAATTCCGTGGTATTTTAATCTACAACATGACTCTCAGCAGCTGAATCCTCAACTCCTTGATTCTCTGGTCTATCCACTAATAGGCATGACAGCTCCTCAGGAAACAGAGATTATGGAGCCTAGGAACTGCAATGCCCACTACAGGGTCCAGGTGGGATCCAAGTTTCCTCAACACTTGACAATTTAGAGGAGTTGGAAGTCTCCACTGGCTGAAGGCTGACTATCTGAGCTTAGAGAAATTCTTGCCTCTAGCCACAGCTTCTGACAGAAACCGATTCATGGCCTTCTAACTCCCATGGTGTAAGAGCTCATGCCCCTAAATTCAAGGGAATACTCTTCCTGCTACCAGTATCCCTTTGGTCCTGGGATGATGTCCACACTGAGGGCCTGTATTACCCTCAGGACAGCAGTTTCTAGGGCAACAGTTGAAAAGAAAAGAAAACCCACATTAAAAAAGGCAAGACTTAGTACTTCTAAAATTGCAGTAGGAAGAAACTTGGGAGGAAGAACAAGAGGACTAAAAAGGCATTGTTTAGCAGTTATTTGCTAACTAATGATATTTTTTATGTGTATGTTTCTTTTGCATAGAAATTTACCATGTTCTGTTTTTTCCATAGACAAAAATAAATAAAGCTTCTAAACTGTAAATGTTGCTAAACTGTAGACAAGAAGTTGTTGGCTGCCTAGTCTTTTAAATTAATCATGGCTGGTATGATTTATATTGTCTAAAGAACAGAAGTTTTACATTTTCAGTCAGAAAACATATTTAAATAATATCATATAAATAAATACCCCACTAGCAAAAATTGTAGGATTATAGTATTCCATTAATAGTTCACAAGAATCAGTATTGTCCCCCATGCAAAGAGGAATACATCCAACTTAATTAACTGTATAACTGCAGAAGGCTTGGAATATAGACCTACTAAAATATTTGATGTGCAATAAAGAAAATGTCATTCATTTGACTGAAGTCAAAATTTATGCAGAATGAGCAATGTTAGAGCTGCTGGGGGGGAGAAGAGTGAAGAGGGAGGGGGGAAAAAAAAGAGAGGAAAAAAACCCATGAAACACCAGATGACAAATTCTGGAAACAGGCGTTGCCATGGAAAAGCAGTGGCTGTTATGTACTCTTAGGGTGCAGAAAAATAAAATACTTAAATTATGGGAAAATGAAGAAAATATGTTTCAAGGAAGCTGGATACATGAAATCTATTCTAAACCTGACACCTGGTGTATTATGGTTGAGTTAGACTATGGGTAAATCAGCAAGACATCTACATTTTTTTCAAACTTCCCAATGGAATTCCTTAATCAGCCAAGAGTTGTTCCCCATTGCTTTAGGATGCATTTCTAAATCTGAATGCTTTAAGGTCTTTGGATACTTGTTTCAGTATTTGCTTGTGCATTCAAGGTAACCAACTGGATGCACAGCTCTTTAAATTAGTTCTGCACTTCAGGACTGTAGAAGCAAGAAGAAATTCTGCAGCAGAGTCACTACTGAGTCAAGAGAAGTGTGCAAGACTGAGAGCTTCTGCTTTAAAGAAGGAAGTCGAGGAGAATAACTGGTACTTTGGGAAAGGTATATCACAAAACACAGAATCTCACGTGTTACTCATATAATGGGGCTAAAGCCTCCAAATATCAGGGGTAAACATCTCCCTGTGGCTCACTCAGGCCTTTTGTACACCAAGTGACACCCAAAGCTCTTGCATTAGACCGTGCATCAGCACTGAGGCAGCAAACCCTGGCTGCCTTCAAGCACCACAAATATTTTGCTAACAAGAGAAAGGGAAGTGAACAATTCTGGCTGAAGGAACATGGTTTTTTTGGATCCAACAGGGCTGTCTTCCTTTATTTCTGGCTATGACATTCATAGGTGAACATGAGAAGGGGTCTATCCCTCTTTCCCCTCCCATATGCTCTCTTGCCTCCCTGTTCCCACAGTTATTAAATGACTTTTGCAATTAGACACATGATGCCTATTGTTTGCCTAGTTCCCAAAACTGGAATGTGAGGCTAAATGAGAGACAAGAACACTTGCTAGACACGGCTGCTAAAGGAACTGCCCAGCCTGCAGAGAAAGGCTAAGCAATGAACTCCAGATGGATGTTGGTACCCTGCTACCTTCCTCCTTGTACACCTGACCTGTGTACACTCAGTCTCCCAAATGGCTTAAATCAAACCTTATTCTTAAAATCCTTTTTCCACAACTCTTGCTCTTTTCATGACTTTCACAAGGGCTTTTAGGTTATTATTTATTTCTATTTACTTAATCTTCTACTCACCTAGGATAATTACACCAGCATTTCAATAACAACTTACGGTTTTTACCTATATTTTCTTTACCCTGAGGAATTTTGGTCTTTCTCTTCGCTGTTCCTCAAGAGAGACAGTGCACTACTCTGCAAACCACTCAGTTAAACATGGTCCTTACTGTGCTAACTTGATGATAATTTGGACTTTTATATACAAAAGCAATGGTTTTATTCATAAATCTTCCTTTCCATCTGGGGCAAAGTGGAGAGGGATGATATTTTACGTCCCATGGAGGACATGTGGGGAATCACACTGCAAAATAGAACCAGTTGTTCATACAAGCTCTTATACACGGTGCAAAATTTCTCCACAATGGAGTCAGCAACATGAGGTAAAAGGATACCTGTTTAGTTAAATCCACATATTTGGGAGGAAAACAGAAGCATTTCAGTGTAAATTTGAATAATAAAGGTGACCACATTTTCTAACCACTACGTCTTTCCTGAAAAGCCAACTCTTCTGTGATTCCAGTGGTTGTTCTGCATGAGGCTACATTATGAGCAGGGAGAGGAGAGCATATGGGATAATCACTTTATCTACCCCTGGAATATTAAAATGTCAAGATTTTGTAATAAAAAGAGATTTAAATAAGAGTGCTTGTCACAGTATTCTGGTGAAAATTTTATTTTAGGAAGACTGTTTTAATGGATTAAAAAAACAAACAAAACCAAAACATCTGCCAATTTATGGAAGGAAAAAAAGTATACCATGAATCCTTGGTCCCTAAAAGAGGGAGCGTAAGTGAGAGCACAGATCCCTAGGTGTAGCTTACTAATGTACATCTTTTTTAGGAAAATCACTAAAAAAATCTTGATTTCCTAAGGATGCTGTGTAGACACACTTTTCCAGAAACTGACATTAAAGAGAGTGGAATGGAGTATGAATATCCATCTTCTGCAAGTGAGTTACACCAACCAAACGTTTTTTCATTCAAATCTATTGTTTTAGTGAACACCAGCCAATACATAACTATGCAAGATTTTACTCCCCTCATGTTCATCAAAATGCAGCTCCTCACAGACTTTGATACACCTTTGATACACAGACTCCTCAACAGCTATGAAAGGGCTGACTTGAAACGGGCCATCATGGACCCGTGTGAATAGAGAAAATAAATATTGTTAATGCTCAAAACATGCTTTGCACAGATTTCAAACGTTACTGAAGCCTGACACACACTGAAGCCTGTCATTTAGCCACAGGAAAGAAAATTACTTTTATGAATTTTACATAGGGTGCTCATATATGTTATTGAGTCTACAAGAAATCACAAGCTTACTTTCACAACCTGCACTACGAAACTCAGTTTCAAGTGTGATACTGCTAAGGGAATGACATTGCTTCCCCGCCAGACTCTCTCCTGCATTATCAGTAAGTGCCATGCTTGTTTTAAGCCTGGCTCATACTACTGAAATGCCCAACATCACCATCTTTCTAACTCTTTATGGGTATATGCCATGGGTTTTCTTTTTTGGTTTTCTCCTTTTTTTTTTTTCCTTTTTTTTTTTTTTTTTGTGACAAGTCAAAAAAGCCTCATTTAGACAGCTGTGCAGTGGGTACAGAGCTGTTCACCATCACTGTTTAGATACCCTGAGAATAAAAAAACAGCTAGTGAAACTGAAAGAAAACAGAGAATCTGAACGAATGCCAGGACTAGGCACGCTGCTGTTCCTGCAGACTCGTGCCGAGGAGACGCGCTATCCCGGTTGCCACCAGCTCCCGCAAGTGCGAAATCCCTTCTCCGCGGCTCCTGCCCCGACAGACAGGAGTGCGAAAATTTTCCGCTTTCTCCCCCGAGACCGTCGGGGCCGGCCCTTCCCCTCGCCACCCCCGGAGGCGGACTCGGGTCCGCAGCCGCCGCGGGCGGCCCCAGGGCAGAGCGGGGCTGCCGGCACC